GCAAAAAAAAAAAATAGCTGGGCATGGTGGCATGTGCCTGCCAGTTCCAGCTACTTAGAAGGCTGAAGCGGAAGGCTTGCCTGAGCCCAGCAGGTCGAGGCTGCGGGGACAGAGAGCATTCCACTGCACTCCAGCCTGGGTGACAGAGTGAGACTCCAACTCAAAATAAAAATAAAAATAAACGAATGTCTGCTTGGTGCAGTGGCTCATGCCTGTAATCCCAGTGCTTTGGGAGGTTGAGGTGGGAGGATTGCTTAAGCCTGAGAGTTCAAGGCTGCACTGTGCTATGATGGCACCACTGCACTTCAGCCTGGGACACACAGCAAGACCCAGTCTCCACAATAAAAGGAAAAAAAGAAAAAATGTTAATACCAATGCCCTACCCCCACAGACTTGAATTCATCTGGTCTGGGGTGGGGCCTGGGGACAGTATGTTTTCAAAACTCCCCTCCTGCCAGGTGATTGTCATCTCTTACTATATTCTCTCTGTATTATCCTGCTCCAGGTACAGAGGGCTCTTCCCTCAAACATGTCAGCCACACTCCTGCCTCAGGGCCTTTGCACCAGCTGTCCCTGCTCTGCCTGGACTACTCTTTCCCGGAAATCCACATGGCTCCCTCCCTGACCGATTTCTCTCAAATGTTACAGAGAGGTGTGACCTCCTGGTCCTCTATTCTCTTTCTTTTTGTTGTTAGATTAAAATAACATTTTTTTGGTCAGGTGTGGTGGCTTATGCCTGTAATTCCAGCACTTCGGGAGATCGAGGTGGGAGGATCACTTGAGACCAGGAATTTGAGACCAACCTGGACAACATAGTAAGATCCCTGTCTCTACCAAAAAGAATTTAAAACAATTTTTTTTTTTTTGAGTTGGAGTCTCATTTTGTCACCCGGCCACCGCAGCCTTGACCTGCTGGGCTCTGGCGATCCTTCTGCCTCAACCTTCCAAGTGGCTGGAACTACAGGCGCGCACTACCACGCCCGGCTAATTTTTTGATTTATTGTAGAGATGAGGTCTTGCCAAGTTGCCCAGGTGGGTCTCGAACCCGCAGGCTCGGGCAATTCACTCACCTCGGCCTCCCAAGGCGCAGGATTACAGGCTGAGCCACCAAAGCCTGGCTAAAACAATTTTTTATTGCAGCAAAACATACACAGCATAAAATTCATCATCTTAACCATTTTGAGGTGTGCAATTCAGTGGCATTGAGCACACTCACATTAACATGCAACCATCACCACTATACACCTTTCTATCATCCCAGATATTCTGTACCCGTTAAGCAATAACCCCGTTCCTTACTCCTCCAGCCCCTGGCAACCTTGATTCCACTTACTGTCTCAATAATTTGGCCATTCTTGGTGCCTTACATAAGTGGCATCATCCAGTATCTCTCCTGTGCCCTTATTCCATACTTTAAAAAAATTAAAAATTATTATTATCATTTTGCAGACATATTCTCACTCTGTCACCTGGGCAGGAGTGCTATGTCGTGATCATGCAATTCTCCTGCCTCAGCCTCCCGAGTAGCCAGGACTACAGGTGCGTGCCACCACACACGGCTAATTTTTTTGATCTTTTTGTAGAGATAAGATCTCACTATGTAGCCTAGACTGGTCCCAAACTCCTGGCCTCAAGCGATCCTCTCACCTCAGCCTTCCAAAGTGCTGGGATTACAGGCGTGAGCCACCGTGCCCGGTCCAGTTCTCTCTCGGCTTTGAATTGTATTCTCTTCTAGCCTCCTCTATAATTTGCTTACTGGCTGTCTGTCTTCTCTATGGGAATTTAAACTGAAAAAGTCTCCCTCGGCTTAGTTTCCTGCTTATCCTAGTGTTTATAGCAGTGCCTGGCGTACAGCAGGTGCTCAATAAGCCTCCGCTGAACGAGGGAAGGAACCCTGATGTGCAGCCCGGACGAAGACCCAAGAATCAAGCCTCACAGTCTGTAAGCCTCATCTCCTCATCTGTCAGAGGGGTTGCCAAGAATCCCCACCTAACGGGGATAAGGTCTAGAAAATGCCTTCCATGATGGCATCCCGGGGTTTCTGCCAGGACCCCAGGGCCCTGGGAAGGCCATGCCAAGCTGCAGGGAAAAAGCGTGAGGACACGCCCCCACCGGAAGCGGAAGCTGAGGGCACGCCCCCACCGGAAACGAAGGCTGAGGGCACGCCCCCTCCGGGAACAGAAGGCGGACCTGCTCCTGCGGGAAGAGAAAGGTGAGGACACCAGCCTGCCTGGAGAAGGATGAGGACACGTCCCCTACTGGAACAGAAGGAGGAAGGCCGAACCTTACCGCAACAGAAGGATGAGACCTGCCCCTAGCAGAAAATAAGCATGAGAACATGCCCTTTAACGGAACAGAAGGAAGAAAGCACACACCGCCTCACCGAAAGAGAAGGGTGAGGGCACAATCCCCCCGCCAGAAGAGCGGGATCAGGGCACACCCCCATCTTACCGGAAGAGAAGCATGAGGGCCTGGAAGAAGGTCCGGAAGTTATTGTGCTCAGTGATTTGGAACTCATCTTCGTCACTGTCCTCGTCCTCCACGTCGATACCAATGTTGCCAAACACCTGAGGAGTTGGGGGGTGACAACCAGAGGCAGCTGTGCGCTCAGTGACTCTGGAAAGCTCAGCCCAAATTCTGGGCCTGCCACTGGGAGCCAGGCTCCCCTAGAGCCACCCCCCCCCCCCGCCTGAGGATGCCTGGTCTCCCTGGGGCTTACCTGCATCCCGATGATGGCGTAGATGAAGAAAAGCATGGCAATCAGCAGACAGACATAGGGCAGGGCCTGGAGGGAAGGAGACGGTGACGACGGGCGGGGGGCTGATGTCCCTCCCTTGCTCTGTGCTCCAGCCCCTGGGATGGGTGGCCACGTGCCAGGGCTGGGGGCATCTTTGGGGGCTCTGGGAGGGGGCCCTTAGAGCACTGAAGACACACCAGGGGCAGGATGTCAGACAGGAGCCCTACAGACGACAGCTTCTCAGCAAGGCCACACCCTAGAAGGGTGTCTGCGTCCACCCAGAGCACACGGCCCTCCTCAGCCCCCGTGCCAGCAGTGGGGGCAGGGGCTCACCTTGAAGGACTGAACGAAGGTCCAGAGAAGGATGCGGATGGTGTAACCCTGACGGAGGAGTTTGATGAGCCGGGCAGCTCGGAAGAGGCGGAGGAAGCTCAGGTTGATGAAGTTATTCTGGGGAGACGGAGGAAAGTGGTGACCATCCACCCCCCCTGAGGGGCTCAGAGTTGTCACCACTCACAGAGGCCCCTACATGAAGCCAACCAACAGGAAAAAAGCAAGCAAGACCCCAAATAAGGAGGGAGAGGAGAGAAAGCACTATTAATGCAATGGTGCAGAGGAAAAACTCGAAAAAGGAACGGAGTCGGGGCGAGAGGGTGGGAGGGAGGAAGGGGCATCAACTCAAAAGCATAAGCCCACCCTGCTAGCCCCACCCGCAATGGGGAAAAGGAAAGAAGGAGGGGATAGGAGTGGGGGTAGGGAAGAAATAACAAAAGAACAAGGAAAAGAAAATATATCCGAATCATCCAATCAGGAAAAAAATCGAGATGTTTTTGTTTCTCCCAACAACCAAATGCACTGAGACAAGAGGACACAAGCAGGTCAAGTTGCGGATCCATCACACGTGTACGATGCACAAACACCAGGGTGGGGCAGGGGAGGGACCGCCAGCACGCGCAGGCCTGGGGACATGTGCGGGTTCCGAGGGCATGTTACGCTCCGGGCCAGAAATGCATCTGTCACGGGACTCACCGGGCACCCTGCCCTGCCCTGCCCTGCCGAGCCGCCCACCCACTCCTGCCCGCCCTGACCTCACCCCACGGCCAAGAGGAGCAGCGGCTCGAGCCAATCGGGAGAAGCAGAAGAGCATCTTTTCTTACCCCCTTGGCGAGCGGGAATGGGGAGGACAGGAGGGAGCTGGGGCTGTTCGGCTGCAGGGTGAGTCCTCGCTGCCCGCTGAGTCGGAGAAGATGCATTTGGGGCCCATTTCCCCCCTCTCAGGGATGGCTTCTCAGCTTCTGGGGCTGGGTGGAGTAGCACGGGACCAGGCCTGCAGGAAGCAGGAAGTACTCAGCTCCCGTGGGTGGGTGAGCTCAGAATCCGCCTGGGCCCGCTGGGGGCCGGTGCTGGGGGCTGGGAGGTGGGGCCATCCCTGCCCCCAGGACCTCCCTGGGTAGCACCTGCCTCTGCTCAAAACCCCCCCGTCTAGTCACTGCCTCTACCTCCTCCCGTCCAAGCTAGGAGAACTGGGAGGGGGGTCCATAGAGTAGGGGGTGGGACAAGAGATCTGCTGGAGATGGTGGGTATTGGCTGCCTGTGGAGTGTGACCATCTTGGGGTTTCAGGGGACCCTGGTTGGTGGGAGGCTAGAAGTCACAAAAGGACCAAATTTGGTCTGACAAAGCTATTTTGTGGGGCCAGAGCAGTTTTTTGTTTTTGTGTCTTTTTTTTTTTAATAGAGATGGGGGTCTTACTATGTTGCCCAGGCTGGTCTCGAACTCCTGGCCTCAAGTGATCCTCCTGTCTCAGTCTCCTTGGATTACAGGCGTGAGCCACTGCATTTGGCCCGTTTTTGTTTTATTTTGTTTTTTGAGTTAGAGTCTCACTCTTGCCCAGGCTGGCGTGCAGTGGCATGCTCATGGCCACCGCAGCCTCAACCTGCTGGGCTCTGGCGAGCCTTCCAAGTGGCTGGAACTTCCAAGTGGCTGGAACTACAGGCGCGCACCACCACACCTGGCTAATTTTTAAATTTATTGTAGAGATGAGGTCTCGCCAAGTTGCCCAGGCCGGTCTCAAACCCGTGGGCTCAGGCAATCCTCTCACCTTGGCTTCTCAAAGTGTTGGGATTACAGGCGTGAGCCACTGTGCCAGGCCTCGTTTTTGGTTTTAATTAAAAGTTGCTGCCATGGTTCAAACAGGAGATTCTGGCCACCAATCTGGCTACCTAGAAGCAGGCCACATGCTCTCCAGTTCTGCAAGGTCCTCAGGTTCTAGAAATGGCACCTGCATTCCTGGTCTACTGGTGTCTGCGTGGCCCCCAGAGGCATCTGAGTCTGAGTCCTGCCTCAGGCAGGCAAGGAACCCTCCTTTGCTGGCCAGGACCCAGCAGGTTGGGGGCAGGAGAGGCACAGGGTGTCCCTGCAGAGAGGGCCTTAACTCTCTGCTCTGTGGGATTTGTGGGAGCCCTAGGTACAGGCCATTTAGAAAGATTTAACATGGCCTAACTCTCCGCCCCAAAATGGCACAGGGCGACCCTACAGTGACAGCATCCTTCCTGGTTCAGGAGTGTCTGGTCCGGGGGACTGGTTATATGTGGGCCTCCTGGCGGCTCCCAGAGGGCTTCCCCTCTATGGGTCTGGGGTCTCGCACTGGCTCTTGCCCGGGAGCTGAGAGGTAGGGGCTGGAGTTCAGGGAATTTCTGAGGCAGTCAAGAGGACCTGGGGTTGCTGGCAGGGGACATGTCAGTAAGTCCCTGGGCGTCTAGGATGGGGAGAGAGGCTGGGGGAGCCTACCCTGACCACTTTGGGCCCGACTGCTATGAGAATGTCCCCAGCACCTCAGACAAGCCCCCAGACCCACCTCAGCAGAGAGAGTCACTCTCTGTGCCCCACTGACCTGACCCTGTCCCTGCCTGGCCACCCAGCTCCACCGGGGGATGGGGCCCACGGCTCAGGTGTCCCCAGCCCCCTCCCACTCATCCCCAGAGCACGAGCCATCCCTTCCACGGGGCGGATCATAACATGTGAACTCGGGGCATGCAGAGGCGGCAGGTCCTGGGAGCAGCCTCGGGGCTCAGGCGGAGCGGGGTGGGGGCGGCCACCATGCAGGGAAGCAAGGGACCCGGCAGACAGCATGCAGCCCTCCTGGGGTGGGGAGGGTGACACACGAGGGAGGGGCGGCGGGATGGGAGAGGTCTGGTTGTGGGGTGGGCGCCTTTGGCCCTGTCCACCCTCCATCTCTTCTCTGCGCAGGCCCTGGGCCCCCAATGAACTCCTTCTCCCTAGCCCGAGGTGGGGAGCTTCCTCTCCTCAAAGCCTGCCCTGGGCTTCTGGCTACAGTGGGCTGGGCCGGGCACAGGCCCAGGAGGTGTGAGTACAGCGTGCTTGCCATTCTCTCTTCCAGGGTCCTCCCTGCTCAGGGGCAGGCGTTCCCCGGGCGCTCATGACCTGGAGACCACCCCCCAAAGGCTCCCGAGAAGTCCTGACCTCACCTGCAGCACCAGCACCCATGACCACCTGCCCATCTGGCTTCTCTCAGGTGTGGGTGTGGTGTCTTGCTCCTAAAGACACCACACCCACACCTGGGTTGAGGTCTCACTTTTTTGCCCAGGCTGGAGTATAGTGGTATGATCACAGCTCACCACAGCCTTAACCTGCTGGGATCAGGCAATTCTCCCGCCTCAGCCTCCCCTATTGAGACATGTGCCACTATGCTTAACTTTTTGGATTTTTTTTTTTTGAGTTGGAGTCTCACTCTGTCACCCTGACTGGAGTGCAGTGGCCGCTCCCGGCCACCGCAGCCTCGACCTACTGGGCTCCGGCGATCCTTCCGCCTCCGCCTTCCGAGTAGATTTTTTGGATTTTTTAGAGAGATGAGGTCTCTCTGTGTTGCCCGGGCTGGTCTCAAACGCCCAGGCTCCAGCGATCCCCCTGCCTCGGCCTCCCAAAGTGCTGGGCTTACAGGTGTGAGCCACTGTGCCCGGCCTCCTCCCAGTTTTGAGCCAGTCCTGAGTGCCCAGGCCCCATCCCTGGTCCTGCAGAGACCACCCCCGAGGTCCTCCTGCTGGGCTGCTCCCTACTTCCTGGGTGATCCTGCCTCATCACACTTCCAGTCGCACCTCTCCTGCTCCACCCCCTCCCAGGCCTCTCCTGGTTCTCAGGATAAAGCCCAAAGGCCACAGTAAACCTCCCCCTCCACCCTGGGGCCCTCTCCCCTTCTGCCTGAGTCAGCTTTCTCTGGGTCAGCCTCCCCGGCTCTCTTTGAGCCAGCCACCTCTCCACTTACGGATCCCAACCCTCACACACTCCATCCTGCCACAGGGCTTTTGCACATGCTGTCCGGGGCCCAGAGCGCCCTTTTCACCTCTCTCTGCCTTGCGAATGCTGCTCACCCTTCGGCTCACAGTGCAGGTCCGATTTTTGAGTGGGGTGCAGGGGTTATCACCTGACTGTGTGTGGGGGAGAGTGACGGAGTCCGCTTCTGCCAGCACTCCATCTGTGGCACCAGTAGGGGCCCACTAAACATCAGGGGGTGTGTGCACATGTACTGTCTGCAGGGAAGGGACCCCGGAGCAAAGATGCCACTGGGGCTCTGTCAAAGGGCCTCATCTGGTGCAGGGGGCAAAGGCAGGTGGGGTGTAAGAGAATGAGGGGTGTGCCCAGAGTGAGGGGTGGGGGCGGGAGAGAGTGTGTGCAGTGTGTGCTGGGCTGGGGTGAGTGGATGTCAGAGGGAGTGGAGCGTGTGCGTGAGACACAGACACAGGGAATCAGAGGCCAAGAGGGAGGGGGGGCCGTGGCTGTGTGTGTGGTCACTGTATGTGCAGTGACAGTGCAGCGGCCACATGTGCGGTAACTACACCTGCAGTGATAGTGTGGTGGCTGTGTGTGCAGTGACTGTGTATGTAGAGTGACTTTTGTGTGCCATGACTTGTTGTGCACGGGAACTTTGTGCGGTGACTGTGTATTCAGTGTCTATGAGTGCAGTGTCTGTGTGTGCAGCGTCCGTGTGCACATTGGCCATACGTGTAGTGTTGGTGTGTGCAGCGCCCATGGGTGCCGCGACTGTGTGTGTGGCAAGCATGCACGCGTTGTGCAAAGCTCCAGGAGGGGACCTCAGCAGACCCCCAACTGAAAGTCTCCAGACTGAGTTCCCTGCCTGAGAGCTTCTGCTCACCTGTTGCCTCCTCCCTCAGATTTGGAGAGCCAAGTCTCTGATGGCTAAGGCCCGAGAGCACGTGGGCTTGGGACTGGGGTGGAGGCCCGCAGGAGGGAAAAAGCCAGAAGGGCAGAAAGGGGCTGGCATCTTTCCTGGGAGAGAGGTGGCTGAGTGAGCGTGCCCCCTCTGATATTTCCGCATGGACGGGACAGTGTGTGTGAGATGGGGTGAGAGGGGGGATACTGCACAGGGGAAGAAAGCCTTTCCTTTCTCTGCAGAAGAGGAAAACCCAACCAACCCGCCAGAAACCCCCCTCGAGAACCCAGTAAAAACAACCAGAGAGTCTGCAGGAAGGAGGAGGCAGAGAGGCTGGGGGAGGACGGACAGACAGTCGGGAGGGGCGGGGAGTGCGGCCGGCATCCCACGCGGGAGAGGCGGGTGTGGCATGCAATGCCTATGCGTTCACAGTTAATGTAAGGCATTTAGACTTCAGAAAGAAGTAAGACCAACCGGATTCTAGATGCAGATGTAGAAGATGGGGGGACGGGCGGGCGGGGGCAGTTGGGGAGGCGTGTTCAGCGTTTTTAGGTTGATTTGTAACCAATGCCAAAACACCAATGGGTTTCGGTTCCCGGGCGGGGAGTGGGGGTGGTGGTGGCGGTGGGTTGGGAGATAAGTCATTGGTGTATGAACACACAGACCACGTCATGGATGAACAAATGAATTTCATAGTGCATTTTGATTGGATGAGTTTTTCAGACGGCGTTGCGCCAATATACAGTTTTAAGAGCAGGCATGAAAAAAGACAAGACAAGAAACAGTCATTATCCATTGCACACAGGGCAAACCCACGTCACCCGGCCACTTGGGGCGGCGGCTGAGACCCACAGGCAGAGCTGGTTGTTACTGCCACACGCCCTCGGTCCCTCCCCTCCCCCGGGCCCTGGGGATCTGCCTTCCCGAGGGACCAGCTGCCCCTGCCTCAGCCTGGTGGAGCCCGCTCTTATACCTGGTGGGCTTACCTGGGAGGCAGACAAGGGTGACTGTGACCTCCTCGCCCACCGGGGCAGGCCTCCCCTACTCCGGGCTGGGAGTGCATCCTCCAAGAGGGGCCCCGACACCCGCCCGCTATCTATCCCTCAACGCGATTATAGCTCAGGGCTGGCTAACCCACTGCACACTCAAGTACAGTCACAGTGATAATAACAATAGCAATAATCAGCCACTGTTTGCAAACTATTTTCTGGAAGGTTCTGTGCCAAGCACTTCACGTCGATTGCTCTTTTTGTTTTTTTGAGTCAGGGTCTCACTTTGTCACCCAGGCTAGAGTGCAGTGGCATGATCAAGGTTCATGCAGCCTCCACTTTCTGGGCTCAGGTGATCCTCCCACCTCAGCCTCCAAAGTAGCTGGGACTACAGGCATGTGCCACTATACCTGGCTAATTTTTAAATTTTTTTTAAAGAGTAGAGAGAGAGATTTATTAACTGATTTTTTTTTAATAGAGGTGAAGTTTTGCTATGTTGCCTAGGCTGGTCTTGAATTCCTGGGCTCAAGCAATCCTCTCATCTCAGCCTCCCAAAGTGCTGGGATTACAGGCTTGAGGCATCATGCCTGGCCAATTGCTCTTACTTGTAAAAAGTTGCCATCTCCTTCCCTCCAGCCCTAAGGTGGCAGGCATTCTGCATTCCTGTTTATTTTGCTCCTTTGCCCTGCCTCCAGCACCTATCGTGTGCCTTATACACAGTAGGTGCTCAATGCATGCCTTTGGAATGTGAGTCTTGCAAGGATCTGATGAGGTTGGTTCTAATGACCATCCCCATTCTACATGAGGAGAGGTTAACACACATCCAAGATCAAACAGCTGATAGGAAGGGCTATTTGGCTACTGCAATGGTCCTAGTGTCCCTGTAGTAGTCCCAATGCCCCATCTTCCTGCCAGCCAGGATAACAGGCCCTTAGAATCCAGCCCTACATGGATCTCTTACTAGTGACTGGAGGCTTCAACCAACTTCTTTCACCTACCTAGCTGGGGGAACTGGGCCACTACTCCCAACCTCTTGAACCAAAGGGACACTGGTTCAAGGCTATCTTGTGCTCAAGCTGGATGAAAAAATATTCTGGCTGCCAGCTGGAGCTCCAGGCCTCTCGAGAAATTCAGGACAGAGGATGAGGGTCAGGCTCTGGCCCTCTACCGGGGAAGAGTGAATGGGTGGGAATGCCCCAGTGGGCGTGAACCCTCTATTGCAGTCGTCCTCAACCTTTTTGGCATCAGGGATCAGTTTTGTGGAGGACGATATTTTCATGGCCTGGGGGCGAGGACTGGCTTTGGGATGATTCAAGGGCATAACATTTATTGTGCACCTCATTTTTATTATGATTACATTGTAATATATAATGAAATAATTATACAACTCACCATTAAAAAAAAGAGGCACGGATGGAAGTGGTAAATAAAATAATGGGCAGATCACGAACAGACTAAAATAAGTGTTGGATTCTGACTTAAAGCCTGCTACCACATGCAGCCGCACAATTGAAGTACATCAACTCAATGTCACTCACTGATTTTTTTTTTCTAAGTCCGAGTCTCACTCTTGCCTAGGCTGGAGTGTAGTAGCACAGTCACAGACACCTCAGCCTCGACCTGCTGGGCTCAGGCAGTCCTTCTGCCTCAACCTCCCAAGTAGTTGGAACCACAGATGTGTGCCACCAGGCCTGGCTCATTTTTAAATTTATTGTAGAGACGAGGTCTCGCCACGTTGCCCAGGCTGGTCTCGAACTTGTGGGCTCAGGCAATCCTTTTCGCCTCTGCCTCCCAAAGTGCTGGGATTACAGGTGTGAACCACCATGCCTGGCTACTGATAAGGTTTTGACATGGGTCTGCGAGTCAAGGACTTGTTATAGTCTCTGTGCAGTCCAACCTCCTTGTCGTGTTAATCTGTATCTGCAGCCACTCCCCAGCGATCACATCACTGCCTCTGGTCCACCTCTGATCATCAGGCATTACAGTCTCATAAGGAGTGCGCAACCTAGATCCCTCACACGTGCAGTTCACAGTGGGGTTCACGATCCAATGAGAATCTCATGCCGCTGCTGATCTGACAGGAGGCAGAGCTCAGGCGGTGATGCCAGTGATGGGGAGTGGCTGTAAATACAGACGAAGCTTCGCTGGCTCACGAGCCACTCACCTCCGGCTGTGCGGCTCCATTCCTAACAGGCCATGGACCGATACTGGTCCATGGCCTGAGGGTTGGGGACCCTTGCCCTAGAGGGAAAGTTCTGGGGGGGGGTCGAGGGAAGGGGGCATTCTGGGCTCACTGGAGCTGAAGGCAAAGAAGTGTGGCCAGGAAACCCCTTAGGGGGTGGGGACACACCGGGGAATGGACCCTTTCTGGGTAGCTCCTCAGGGCCCCCGGCCCTGCAAGATGGAAGAATGGGCAAATGGATCCCTTTCTGCGGGGGGGGGGGG